GAGGCTACTCTGGCTGTGGGTGGTTGGGGGACGTGGGGGGGGGGGGGCGGGCAAGGCAGTGAGGGGACTGGGATCCAGACACCTGGGCTCACCTCTCCTCCCCCTCCACAGATGGTGAAGGCAATCCAGGTCCTAAGAATCCACCTGCTGGAGCTGGAGAAAGTCAATGAACTCTGCAAGGACTTTTGTAACCGTTACATCACCTGCCTCAAAACCAAGATGCACAGTGATAACCTGCTCAGGAATGACCTCGGGGGGCCCTACTCCCCCAACCAGCCCTCCATAAACCTTCACTCACAGGTAACACACAGGGCTGGGTCCTGTCTCCTAGCCAGGCTCCTAAGCGAGGCGTCAGAATGTCTGAAGGTCCCGTGGAGACCTAGGAAAATGGTTTAGACTGACTGTATCCTTTCACCTCTGATCTACTCCTCCTGCTATTTTCAGGCAGCTCAGTCCCTTTTTCACCCAGAGCTCAGCATGCCAGGGCATCAGTATTCCCTAGAAGATGACCAGATCTGAGAGGGACAGTGTCCAAAGGGATTCCTGGCTTCCTGGTCCAAGAGATCCCAAAAAATGAGCACGAGAGTTAAGGAGACGGAGAGCTTTGCAGGAGGATGAGGCGGGGACGGAGCTGGGAGTGGACCCAGACATCCCAGCCTCGCAGGTTTCTCAAGGGGGCTGGAGCTCGATGAGCTCTCTGTGTTTTGGGAAGGAGAGTGTGGGGAAAGTGGGCCTTCCCTGAATCCTGCCCACCTAATAGGAGACAACAGCCTCCCACGGGACAGCTTTTCCCGTGGGAAAATTGTTCTCTAGTTGCTCACCCTGCCCTGGCACATCTGTCTCCCCACAGTGGTCCAGGGCCACTGTGTAAGTCACCTAAAGTCACCCCTCACAAGATTCACCAGCCACCTTCATCCTGGGAACTGGGAACTGTGGAAATGGCAGAGAATGGGCTCTCTCTCCAGGACAGAATATCTTCCCCAAACCTATGAACTAAGAAAGCTTCCTGGTGATACCTTCCCAACTCACCGGTATCTATGTTAAGCCCTAGACTCACCAGTTTATTCTTCTCCCACTGAGCTCTTGAGTCCAGGACAGACACATGGAGGGTCCCCCAGGAGGTTTGCACTAGCCTCTGCCCACGAGACAATCAGGCTTGGGGATACCGGTAAACTTTCTAAGAATGCTTGGCGAGAGGTGCCGGAAAGAATGCCAAAGAAAGGTGGTGCCATTTTTATCCTTAAGTTTTAAGGATCGAGACGTATAATCTATCTCTCTAGGTTGGTGGAGGCAGGGGAAAGGACATGGTGACCCCTAGAAGGCCAGCCATGCCTTGTACATTTTGATAGCAGGAATCACATCGAACCCACCCCGGTGGGGTCTCCGTGGGACTCGATAGTGAGTACTGTATGGGACACGAGGCGGGAAGTTTATTTCCTCTTCCCATTACTTGAAATCACCAAATCACTTTATTACAGACCTAAACTCAGCCGCCCAGGCTTCTGCTTGCTAATATTCTCTTGAAATAGACTCATTCCTTCAGAGTCTTATTGTACTTTCCCTTATGATCAAAATTAGCAAGAAACTTGCATAAAAGAGGACAATAATTGCTCAACGAGCATCTCGTTTGTAATTTATTAGTTTCTATTATTGTGGGTTACCATGGCGATGCTGCACAGCCCCGGTGATGGGAGAGATGCAAGATAGGAGCCAAGGAGGCTGTGAGGCCTCACCAAATGGAGATGCACATTTTTATCAGTAATTTTCATGAAAATAATAAGTGAGGAGTTAATGAGATGGAAAGCCATCCTGTGGCTATTGTGAATTTGTTTTAAGTGTTGATCTAATTAGAATGCATCGGTCAGGAAAAGTAATGAGGATTTAGTGCCTCACAGAGATGTAAGGATCATATCAGAAAATTAGCACAAGTCTTTGGAAATAATCAGGTCCTTGGAGAGGCACTGGGTTTCCCCTCCTGGGCCCTCCAACCCCAGCTCGAGCTCCGGCATCGGGGGTGTACCAGGGCAGTGGGAGAAGAAAGGAGGGCCAGAGGGCTTTGCAGCCACAGTGGCCCCCTCAGGCTTGGGGTCCCCGGGCCGACAACTTTGTGTGCAGAAAGCAGGGTCACTGGAGACGTGGGTTAGCAGAGAAAGATAACGTGGGCTCTGGGTGAGCCAGGCCTCGGAGATGCTATCTGCAAAAATCAGTCCTCCTGGGGAATCCCTGCATTCAGTGGCTCTGAGCTTAGAGGAAAGAGGAAGGAACTTTGATTCCTGTCACTGTAAGCATCACATCTGTGCCTGACAGTGAAGCTGGCCCTGGGGTGACCACTGCAGAAAGGCCTCTGATCCGCTTAGAAAGAGGAACTCAGACAATCAGACAAAAACAAAGACACCGAGAACGAGAGGAGAAGACACTTAGCGAGGTGGGGTCCCATTTGCTGCTTCTCAGATTTGTCCCTTCATTTCCTCTCACTGGCCCCACCTACTTGTTCAGGCTTCAGTGGGTAAATAAGGTAATTACACACGAGCTGCTGTCATAGCTTCCCAACCTGCTCTTCTGTCTTCTCTGGCTACCTCGAAGCCCTCCCCCCCCCCACACACACACACAAATTCACATATGCACACCTCTTAGCCTTCTGCTGCTAGCTTTATCTTCTGAAGCTCTATTCAAGCCATTCTCCTGCTTGAAAACCCCAACTGCCCCCCAGAGTTTTCACATCCTTTCACTCGACATTTGATGCCCTCGTAGGTCACTATTTTTCCACGCCTGTATGTTTGGGTGATGACGGCACATCTCTGCAGGACCGAACCCAGCCTCTTCCCCAACGGCAATAATAAGGCTGCTCTCTCCATGGAGGCCTCCCTGACACCCCACCCCAAAGCATGGGCTTTTCTTTCTCTCAACTAACTCCTGGGCACATTGGGCCATTTATATGGTAAATATCCCATGTGACTTCACGTTTTCCTCTCCTGGTGAATGATAGGCAGCCAGTAAATATCTGTTGAAAGAAGTAATATGATGAGAAAGACAGAGAGAAATCAAGGAGGCAAGAGGAAGGCAAAGGAGGAAAGGAAAAGTAAGGAGAAAGACAAAGGGAAAGAAAGACAAACATCAATGGTCACGTTTGCGAGGGAGGTACGGAGAGGCTGAAGAACTGGAGGAAAAGAACAACAAAGACAAAGAGACACAGACCGAGGAAGAGGGGAGTGAGGCTGAAGACAGGCAGAGGCAGAAAGGAGTTGGAAAGAGAGATGGCGGCAGTCGTGGGGGGAGGGGGAGGGGTGGGGGTCAGTGCAGCGTCCCAGGTGTGTGTCCGGGAGAAGGTGAGCAGGATGTGCCCTGCGCTGCCCCGTCCACATCCCCAGGTCAGGCTCCCATCTCTGCCTCGCCAAGGTGGGTGCGGGCTGGCCTGGGCCTTCCCAGGAAGGAGAGACCCTCGGGGCCAAGAGACTCAGTGCAGGAGGCAGGCCTGCCTGGGGTCCGGCCATGGGAGCCAGCTCGGCAGAGGAGAGAGGAGGAGCGTGTGTGTGTGTGTGTGTGTGTGTGTGTGTGTGTGTGTGTGTGTGTGTGTGTGTGTG